CCTGAATTAATACTTACTTCAACATGAACTCATGATTAGTGAAGAAGACATGAGCTAATCATGAACCGATCAGGAGCTGTCCTTAACTATGACTGCAGTCTCAAAACAGATTGTGACCTTTTAAGATCATTTATTATTGTATTTAGTATTTTCTACATTTGATAAGGAGGATCAGTGAAAATAATGACAAACCAAACTTGTGCCATCCAGTAATGTTTATGACAAAGCTGCAGATGTCAATAGTTTGAATTATGACAATATTAAACTGTTTAAATGTATTTGAAAGTCAAAATATATACTATTCCTTCTTATAAAGAGTGTTTGATTAAGTTCACCCCTAAATGTCAATTAAACGTACTATTTAGTTAAGGATGCGTTATTCATGCATGAATCCTTATGATTCCAGTCATAGTTAAGGACAGCTCCTGATTGGTTCATGCTTAGCTCATGTCTTCACTAATCATGAGTTCATGTTGAAGTAAGTATTAAATCAGGTATTAGTACATGATTAGTCATGTACCATTATTGTATAGTGTTACCTCTTTAGTGAATAAAAAAATACTAGTATTTTTCTTCAAAATGAAGCAATTACAAATATACAAAAATACTTCTAGAATATGATAATTAGCTCAAAAATAATGAAAATAAATTGTACCTGTTCTGGTGTTGGTTCCTCCTGCAGTGTTGGACGCAAACATCAGACCTGCATCAGTGAAAACCCCCATACTGTCCCTCCCACCTCCTGCTGTACAGCCGGTGTCATGCTTCTCTATGACGTCCCAGATCTAAAGCAGCAAAGAGATCATTTATAAACCAGTCTCAAGCGTTCAGTGACTGTTGAGATGCTGATGAACGTCCTTCACCTTTGTCTGAGTGAGTCTGTTCTTGTTCACAGCCTTGTCAACCACCACCAGACCAACTTTAGCTCCAGGATCTCCAGTTATCTGCAGCTTGACCTCATCTCCTGTGCCATAGGTATTCATCTTCTCCTTCACCTCAATCTGGAGCTGTTATTAAATGAGACACTGAGTCAGACCTAGATGATTGGCACATCAACTGTTTTTTTGAGATTGTTGACCCACCGTTCCCATGCACGTGTCCTTCACATCGACCCAGACTGAATCAGACACCACCTCAGACGAGCCCACATGGTAATAAGCCACAAAGCGGAAGGACGGCACCATGTCTTTGGTTACAGTCAGAGACAGAGTCACTAGTGATTGTCCTCTTCGCTTAAACCTGTCTGCTTTTACAATCTGACCTTTACTTAAGATCTGAAAATGAGGCAGATGAGAAAATAGAGATATTAATTTATTCATAAGATTCAATTTTAAACAAAAACAATACACAAGTTTTACTTAAATCAATAATTTCTGCTTGAATCATGACATGACTGTCAATCACCATGTATGTGAAGTCTTGACCTCTGACTCCTGGACTTTGTCCAGTGTTCAGATAGACTCTCATTGATTCACCGATCTGAAGCTCAGCAGCATCAATGCCGATGTACAGGTAGTTGTTGGAGCCGCCTTTGGGAATGTAGGCCTGAGCCGTCATCTTCTTCACTGCCTGCTGTTCATCTCTTAATTGTGGATCTTTGGTCTTTGCCTGGAAAGAATAAATACATTGTTTTCTGATGTTCTTTGTACAATATGCTCTATTGATTGTTTAACAACTGTTAACTGATCTATTCTCCACTAGATCACCAGTGAAACTGACT